TTACGCAGCGTAAATGTTGAGCTGAGTCTAAGCCTATGTTTTCGTTCTTTTCTCTTTGCAAAGAAAAATTGATTAGACGGTGCGAATCTTTTGTCTGACCTCCAATGCATTTACACAACATATAGCATGTTATTAAAAAGATACCATGAAGCAGCACCGTAATTAGACCATAAATGTCTGAGCTTTTTTAATACCCTCATTTACATAAAAAATAGCGCACCAAAGATTTTGAATGCAGCTGATTGCGGAAAGCAGAATAACGAAAAGGCGGCCTGCAGATAACAGTCCATGACCGAAACAGTTACTCGAGCCGTTATATAACCCCTGCTTCAAAAACTTGTCTCATGGCCCATTACCAAACAAGATGGCATCCTAGCCTAAACAACACTCGATGCCACTGGACTCTGAAACCTGTCACTAGGCGCTCCCGCCCATAGTTCGGCGACCGGCCAAATAAATAGCCTACGTTCTGGGAACGCCTTGGCACGTCACCGTACATAGTGCTTGTGTATGTCAGTACATACAAACATACACCAGAACTGATGTCCATCGCATGTGATCGCTGTCTGGACTACCCCCAAGCCAGCCTCGGACTGCCGGCACCTTTCTTATATGGTCTCAAGAGTCATCCCTGCTCGACGTCGCTTCTGAAGACACCCGGACCTCGCCATCGTTTCAGACAGCCTTCGTCCACCCAGCACCCTGGGCGAGCTCCTCGGGGTCAATGGGTACGAGCTCCTCCAGCCGCCAGCCAACCGCCGCCGGCGAAAAGCGCCCGGTCGTAACCGGGGCTGCCGCGGTCGTACTGCGGCGAGTTGTGGCGCAGTGCGGCGTGCAGCGCCGCGCTGCGCCACGTCAGTCTCCGTGACCGCCGCGGGCGTACCGGTCTGTCGGCTGCAACATTTCAATTAGCGCTGCCCGGTCTGTTAGTTCCTGCCGCCGACGCCGCCTAGTCGTCAGGCCTCACGGGCCGGTTGACTTCTGAAGTTCTGAGCTTACTGCAAGCGACGCCTTGCAGCGAGCACCTTGTGGAGGCTAGGACACGCCTTCAAGACTGTCACGGAGAGCCAGCCCCTGGTGCGCCGAAATTAAATCGAGATGGTTTAGTGTATAAGGGAGTGAAAGGTTATTTACCGAAATGTCCCCATGTGGTGACGACGGTGCCGTGGTATGTTAAGTACAGAAAGAAGTGTGCCGAGTCTTGTCTCAGGCTCAGTTCAGAGTGGGTAAAAAGGACGAGCAAAAGATCGAATGGGAACTGGAAAGAATCTTTTGTCGGGAAGTGCAGCGATTTGAGATCATGACGATATAATATGCTGATTGTATACCAGAAAGATCATAAGCCAATTGCCTACAATATTGCTAGAAATGGTGGTAACGTTATAATAAAATGCAATGATAACTCCCTCTTTGTATTTTTGTTCATGCGTAATTGCTATTGTCCTATGCACTATTACCGAGAAGCCACCATCACCACTTATGAATCAGGGTCTGACGCCACTTAATTGCTGAATACAGGAATGTGCTACACGAGGGAACCGGTATTAGGTTACCATTTAGCGCATCGATTAACACATCTTTGCCTATTTTCTCGGAATTCACTGATAAGCTTGCACATAAAATCTAGCCAGAAATCTCATCGCGTTCGCTGATGCTGGAATTTCCCCTAACGGTGAAGCTGACAGAATCACGAATTCTGTCATGATATTCCTAAAACGGGACCTGAGCCTGACTTCGCATGTCCGCTTATTATTAAGCTCTTACACGATGTGCAATGTGCATAGTTGTTATCATGGACCGTCTCGTTTCCAATGTCTAATCGTTTTCAGTTCAGATACACATGTCCCGTGGTTGCCTCATAAGGTCTGGCCTTGCGTGACCGCGACTACAGGACAAGCCTTCCCTCTATCTGATCATTTTTGCAGACCTAATATGCGCCGACATCAATGCTGTCCTTGATGGTTTTCTGGAATTCTGTTGACCAGCACGGCGCCTGTCGGGGATCGACAGCACTCGGAATATGTCGATACTGACCAGCATCGGACAAACCAAACAGAACGTGCGGTCAGCAGCGCACCAGAGCTCCCACTGAGATGCAGCGCTGAAGGCCTTGACGAGGTTTGATCTGATCCGCTTCACGCAACAGCCAGGAAGAAAATATCAAATGTTTTTAAAACTAGCGGTGCAGGTCCTGCTTGCGCAGTATCAGCGAAGGACGCATCAAACTCAATCTAGCTCACGAGATGAGATATGAGCTCGTTTGAAATTACCGACGTGGCTGCATGTCTGATTTCCGGATGTGCTCTGCCTGTTCCTGTGCAAATGCTATATACAGAATTCGAAGCAAAGCACGCAGCAAAAGCGGGCATACTCGTGGCTTTACGTTTGCACGAACCAACCTTGATAAAATTGTATTTATTCATGAGAGAATTATCTATTTTAGGGCATCGTAACTCCTGTATTTATGTTACCCTAAGCACAGTTGTTTTCCTTTTTAATTCCATTTTCGGCAACGAGGACGAAACTAACTTTGTCGCCTTGCAATTGAAATGGGCTCAGAGAGCCGTACAGCTCGCCGTTTAAGTATGTTTGTCGAGCGGTGGGACACGCCGTCGGCGACTTACGTTGAAGTGTTTGTGAGAAAGGCTGCCAGCCATGAGCTTCCAGGAAGCACCGATTGAAAATATCCGGGAAGTTCGCCGCAAAAATGTCGGCCTCCGACTAAGGAAAGCTTTGGAGTAGTTCGCATTTTCCGCATGCATTCAGAAAACGGGCGAGCGAGCAAAAATAACCACTCGGCTGATCCGTTTTGGGTAATAAGATAGCAGTGAACCGCTTCTCCGCGGCTCCGACAACGAATCGATCCCAGTCACGACACTGTAGTGTGGAACCAAGGCCGCCACTGGTGACAGGAAAATCGATACTAACGCCGTGAGTTCGGTTCTATCAACTCGCGTGCTCACTCGCGTGTGTCCCCGAGAGCCGTTCGACAACGGTTTACAAGCTCGTGTGCTGTTCTGGCCGGTATCTGGCCACAGTAAACGGGCGTAGCCTAACGTGCTGTATAAATGTTTCTTTCAAGGCCTGAATGTAACGTTCTGCCGATAAAATAGCACATGCAATGTACCTCTTTCCGTTTCATGTTGGATGATTTCGTAAGCATTCATGAAAGGAGCATTGGCAACAGAGCATGAGGAAAAAGGATGATTATTTCCTAGCGTTTCTTATCTTTGTGCATCTGTCGTTTACCTACCGGAATGTCGCCACTTAACAACAACAGATCACGCCAGCAGTAAGATGCTGCGGCCCGTTCTGACCAAGCCTGTCATCAACACTAACCTGGAAAGAAGTATCAGGTGACTGTTCCCAGCGACCGCCCACTACTGACCTGCTCTGTGCTGTCCGTTGGCCGTCGGGCCGTCATCTCTCTCCTGCTGAAGTGCCGGGTGACCGGGCAGCACGCTCAGCAGCTGACGGGCACGTGCTGTGATCAGATCACGCGCCTCCATAGTCGAGTAGCCCCTCGGCGGCTCGTCAGCCACCGGGCCGCGGCGCTCCGGCGGCGAGCGGCTGGGCACGCGCAGGTCACGAGCTCCGGAACAGTCCTCGTGAGCGTCCGGAGATTCGGGGCGCATCGGGCGCTCCGGGCCGCCCATGGGGGCCATCATTGGCATCTCTGGACGCTTCAGCTCGGCGCCCGGTCCTTCGTCGTCCATGCGACCAGCACGTGCGGCCACCTCGGCTTCGTAGCGCTCCTCCCAGTTGCAGTAGCTGCAGAGGAGGAGATACGGGTTTGTCAGTGATGTGTCAGTACTGGAACTTGGAAGGGAGGGAAGATAGGGGTCAGAGGGGTTTGTGACATGTCACTACCGGGAAGATAACAAAGACAAATAACTAGGTAGGTTTGTGAGTCAAAGGGGCAGGCGGGGTCAAAGGAAGTTTGTGACATGTCATTAGAGGAGTAGGAGGAAAAGAGGGGGTCTGGGGGCGTTTGAGGATGACATGTCGGTAGCTAAAACAGGGGATTCGTGGACGGCTGAAAAGACATAGGTACAGTTGTATTTAGCCGGCGTACAACTGTGGGCTGGAACGTTTCAACAGCTGGAATACCATGTTTATTTAAGTGTATTGATAACGGGGAATATACTGGGAGCAGCAGCGACATCGATGTTTGTACTCCTGTGCACAAGAAGCTGAATAACCTCGTCTGATTGACTGAAATGATAAATAAGGCTTTCAGGAACTGCAGGCAACTGAGAACTGTTATGCGCATCTTCAGGATAAACGTAAGGCATTGACGCTGTTATGGATTGTGACATTGAACAATGATGCCATGTTTGAGCATCAAGATGTGTGGACTGCAATATTTGCTCAGAGAATACAAATCATCTGGGACACAAAAAGCAGCGGAATGAATTTAATCATCTACTGATGAATTTTAATCTCAACATCAGAGAACTGCACCTACCGTACTCCCAGCGACCACACATTAGCTCGGCGTCCAATAAATAACTCGCGGCATTAAAGCCGATTTTTACGAATCTTTGATTGATTTATCACTGTCGCCGAGCATTCCATGACGCTCAAGACATTATCACACGACGGCGATGACGCAGTTGGAAATAATAGACGTCACGATCGCGGCGTCCTAATGCTGAGTCTGACGACGGGCGGAGGCTCCGCCAAGCAGAGGGCAACGACGCACAGTGCTAAAGGTCAGTCTTATGACGTCAGTAAATCATGTTTGTTTATAGATTTAGCGATGTAAGCGAATAAAAAGGAAAGAAAGGTTTGGGTTCGTTGCTGGATGCTCTATGTAGGACGGGGGGGAGCTACATGGAAGATCGGCTGCTGTGAAAGTGCTGATTGGATGAAATTAACTGTATCGCAGTCAACGCGGGGCAGACAAATGCATGCAGAATGCTCAAAACAATTTTAATTTGTCGACATCATCTGTTTTGCGTGGATGTAGACGAAGGCTCGGTGGATCGTAACATGACTGATGGTCTGTGGATGTCCGCTCGAAAAGTGGAGGATTTAAAGAGAAAACTGAATCCATTTCAAGAAGGGTAAACTGACAATAAAAGACTCTAAAAATCTAATGAAATGATCAGTGATTTCATATCTAATGATTTCATGATCTAATGATTTCATCATAAAAGAGCATTCTTGTCTACCTCCACCTTGCAATCTGTGCCGGTTAAGACTGTGCCTGTTGTCTGCCATGAGACCCCGTTCACCTCGGTGACGGTCGCCGTCCTCTGCGGTCGTGTCCGGGCGGCGCGCCACTTTTGTCTCCGTCGCGCCACACTCAGCGGCGCCATCAAAACCAGTCGGCGCGCAAAAATGGCGCCATGGATCCGCGCCAGAACCGCACCGTAAGCGGACGGGTTCCTGGGATCCAGCCTCGCGCGGCGCTGCACACAGTACCTACACGATCCGCACGGAAAAAAAACGGGTCGGCTTCAACAGAACATGTCCCAGCGCTTCCTTTTTGCTCGAAATGCCGACTTAAATAGTAGGACTAGGACGGTGCAGCATGCAGTCTTGCAATAATTACAAGTTAGGAGGATGGCGTGCAATGTTTCATCCTCTCCGAAATGATTCAGGAAAGGAAATGGTAGGGCAGTGCTATGTTCAGGGGCTTAATCACAATAACGACACACACTGGGGCATATTCACATCGGGTAGCCACACATTGTGATAAATATACAGATGACACATGCAGTATGTTCATGCGAGCTGGTGCCAGAGCAAAGCAGTTCAACCAGAGCTCCGGGTAGGAGAAGGCAATTTTCCGACCTCCTTGATTTACCATTTTTGTTTTGGAATTGGAATTTGGAAATCGAATGACAAATGGCGCAATCGTAAAACGCCGTCGTCAGTTTTATCATCGATAACGCGCGTGAATTTCGTTGGATTGGCACCTCGTCGGACCGTCCAGCGGCTGCTCTGAAAGATCAATCAAAACTATCGGTCGATTTGCTGTGCTCTGGCCCGCCGCGAGTCGCTCTCTCCGTGCAGCGACCACTGACCGTTTGCGGGGCGGCTGGTCACCGTCGTCCTCCCGCAGGGCCGGGAGCGGGACCGCCGGGACCGCCGGGACCGCCGGGGCCGGGGCCGGGGCCGGGGCGCGGCCGGCGCCGTGGCCGGGGCCCGGGCCCGGGCCGGGGTACAGGGGCTGCTCGGCCGGCCTCAGTGGCACGGGACGCCACGGGCCCGCACGGCACCTGTCCAGATCACCGGCCGCCGCGCTGTAGGAGTCACGGGAAGGGCGGCGTTAGTGCGGAGGCAGCGGCGGCGGCAGCGTGAGTGGCGAGGCGTTAGTGGGGGCCGGCGGCGAGCCATCCAAGCCAGCGAGTGATGGGATGGGCGTCCCATCACTGGCGTGATGGGACGTCCCACCATATCCTATCGCGCCCCACCGCCGGCAGGGTACCCAGGGGACGGCGGGAGCAATTTGTACAGACAGTTCAGCCAATTGCCCATACCAAACCAGCCAGCCAGAGTCACAGCCAGCAAGCCAACCCAGTCAGCTAACTGGACTGACCTAGCCAGAAAGACAGCTAGCCAGCTAGCCAGCCAGCTATTAGCTAGCTAGCCAGCCAGTCATCCAAGCCATCAGCCTGGCCCAGCCAGCCAACCAGCCCAGCCAGCTAGCCAGCCAGCTAGCTAACATTCAGCCTGCCAGCTGCAGTCCCCCAGCATTGCACCAGGAAACAGCCCAACATAAATACACACGGTACATACAACGGCTGTGCACCGGGCGCCCTGCAATGCACGAGTGTAACGGACGACCACCACTTAAAGTGACACATATATTTACAACACTGCCCCGAGCACGAGGAGGCATGCACTTGTGGTAGGTCTCGCCTATGAGTTCTGTCATACAGGGCTGTACTCATTTGAATTGAATGTAATGCTGCAGGATGGTGGGAGTAGGGGAATGGGAATGAATATTCAATGATATGGTGAGAGGTTGGTGTCAGAATGATGCCACAACAATTTTGCATCCCAAGAGGCATGTCAGCATGTCATCAACATGATTTAAACATGACGTTTATTATGGTTATAAGAGTATCTGACACAACTCAGCCAGTGCAACATTGGTTTTCACGTGTACAGTGGATCTTATTAGGATCTCCAGACGTAACTAGATGGCGTTGAGCCTTAGTCGAGTCCATGTCAAATTCAAGGAGAGGTCACTACCGAGCTGGGCCCGATTGGGAGGTGGGCGGGGAGGGGGGGACGGGTGGCGAGGTCACGGTGCGGGTGACCTGTCTAACAGCCCCGGCGCGGTGGGGCACTGCCGTAGGCAAATGGCGCACTCCAGCAGGGGCGTCGCCGACGGGGGGGTCGGGGGGGTCGCGACCCCCCCACTCGTCAGAACCGGGGGGGGGGGTCGACCCCCCCACTTTTGGCGATGCTGAGTATGCTTTTTTTAGCTATCATGTCAGGGAAGTTGGCGTCAGCAACATCAACAAATACAACGTCAGATTCAGAATCGCTTCAAGAGCTCCCTAGTCCCTATTGCTTATAGGTCAATAAGCTGCGGGCTAGAACATCAGCATGACATCATGATTTTAGTCCCGTTTTATCCCTCAAATGAGCGAGCGCGTCAAAACTGACCCAAACGTTCGTCTGATTGTCAAAATAATGGTTGCAGTCGATTCGTCGGATGACGTATCAGTAACTACGAGGTACCTGGCTAGCCTCAGCCCTGCTACCCTCGGACCTGCCTGCATAGAGGAAATGGGGTCAGATGGTGGATCCCTCTGGGGCTTTCCTAATAAGACGCGCAAAAAGGAGTATATTGCAACGAAACTTCCAGTGACCTCGAGTTAATAAATTTTACACCTATCCTAAAAAAAAAATTGGCCCTGATTCGAATATGGATGACCTTGGTTAACTTTTTTGAGTTTTATTTGCTTCCACTTACAAGTGTGGTTTTTGGGGCCGATTTCGAGTTTAGCGCCCGTTTGAACCGTTTGAAGCAGTTTTGATAAATGATGGTTATGTAACATGTTACGAAGCTATCGTTGGTGGTTGTCAGTCACCCACTCTAGATGGCCGGCAGGAAGCCTTGCTGGTCGACCTGACCTGACCCAACCCGATCTACCCAAAATGCATGGAGTCATCATCTTTGTTCAAGACTAACATCGAACTCGTACTCGGGACCCCGATAACAACTACGGCTCACTAAGGTCTAGCAGGCGGCCAGATTTTTCCTTCTTTTGGGCGTTGACCTAAGATGACCCGGCCAAGACCTTGAAATTGGGCATCATCGGCTTTCTCTCATCACGGGCAGCATTTTCGCTCTTCCGCGAAACTCTACCTCGATCAGGGGCCGAAAGCATGCCTTATGCGTTACGTTGGTAAACGTTTTACCTTAGCGACCCGCAAAATACGAATAAGAGCTACAGCAACACAGAAAGCGTATTCGATAGCTTTTTAAAGCTCTTTCGCCAACTTCGCCTCAGATATGACTTCGGGCCTATGGCTTGTGTACTATAGAGTCCAAACAGCTAAACGGACGGATTTTGCCGAAACATTTGTTCTGCAACAACCTATGATTCAGTGAATGTGTATGATATTCATGTTATCACCATCGTTTTTGTTTCGTCGAAACACGTCGCATGGCTTACAATTTGAACTTAAAAACTTGAATAGAAAACTTGACATCAGGTAAAGGTCATGACCTGACCGGAAAAGAACCTGCTGCATATGGATCGATCTGTGTTACTGAGCTGAACACACTCCAGGTGCTGTCATCGCTCTACAACGTCTCCATCAAAAGTTGTTGTCGAAAATGTGTTAGAGACCTTTGATGACCTAATGACTGACCATTTCAGTCACCACTGGTCATTAGCTGCACCTTATCTCTAAAATGAACAAGGTGCCATGGCTACAAAAGTATCTAGCGTTTTTAGCATATTCTTTCAAAGCAGAGGGCATCGTGCTTTTTCCCATATCTTAGCATGATTGGTGAGGTCACATATCTATTTGACCTGACTTCGCTTCCCAGATGTAAAATCCCAGATTCATGAACTATTGGCACTTATAATCCCATTCATTACACCAAATTTCAGACTTATAGGAGTCAAGAGATAATCTATAGGAATCACAAGATTGCAGTTTTAAGAGGCATTTAAAACTGAACTTGACATGACATTGTGACCTGACCTCAGGTGACCTCTGCTTGATTTTTATGCACGATGCAAAATTGATGTACAATAAGATATACCGCTGTTTTCGCGGCGCTGCGCGCCGAGGTTTTTCTCCGGGCACACGAAAAAACCGGGAGTGTGGCTAAAAACACCCCTACCCATCAAGACGAAGTCCGGGAACCCGACCCCCCCCCACTCAAAAATCCGTGGCGACGCCCCTGCACTCCAGCGTTGTTCCATATCGCGGTGGTTGGCCGGGCGGCCGGTTAGCTTGGCAGCTTGGAAGGAAAGGATAATGAGGCATGGTTTTGCTGTGTCCGGTTCACCCAAGGCTATGTAAACCAGGTAGAACGCTCCCGACGAAAAACTGGGGACAACAATGAATTTAGTAACCGCGACTCTCGGGACCAAACAAACTCAGGTTGCCATGGTAACGGGGCAAATTTGGCATGAGTACGCATCTAATAACTCATTTTTCAACGAATTGTTTTAGAAAAAAAGCAAAAATACTTGTCGGACCACTACTAGAATGAATTGCAGTTTTCATAACCGACCAGAGTTTTTATCAGACTGGCCTAAATAATATCAAAATCAAGTCCTAAACTTAGCGGCCCGTGCTGCTATAGGTTACCTCTAACGCTCTGGCCCCCAAAATCGTCACTGGCTTATCAGCCAATGAGCGTCGAGTATTGTCCTACGCTGATTGGTGGGATTACTGCAGTTGTTGTTTAGAATGCTTACGATGCTGACAGCGCTAGCGAAGGTGTCTCCACTTTTCGTAATGTTAAAAGCCCGGAGCGCACCCCCCTGGGTTCACCTATTGTTACTTATGATGCACCCAAAGTAATGCAAATGTGGCGTTGATAATACAGCTGGCAATGGAATGCTAGCGACTGCTCCGCCAGCGCCTAGATATAAGGATTAAGATTATTTATGTCTCCTGAAATTTTCATTGAATATAATTCAAGCACTATAGAAAGATCGTATTCGTTCGCCAGTTTTTTGGCCAGCTGGCGTTTCTTGCGTAGAGCGTCCTTGGGCAAATATTTAGGTATAACGCAGGTGATTTTTTTTTTTTTGCTGGTAAGACGCCTTTAGGGTCAAATCAAGCAGTGGCGGCGGAACACCTTTAACGAAGTGGGGGCACTGCCGACTTTTGGTCCCATTCTTTCCATGCAACGCCCATAGGGCTAATGTTAAAATGCCAAAATCAAACGGGGGCACGGTGCCCCGATGCCCCCCCCCCCGTTCCGCCGCCACATGAAATCAAGTCGCTAAGAGACGATGAGGAAAAGTGGACGAACGCTACATTTCTGTGCATGAAGTCTCGAGTTAAAAAAGCTAAAAGTTATTATGCGTGTAAGCTAAAAAAACAATAAGATCAGTTAATAAAAATATTTGACCCGAAATAAACTTCTGTTTTGTCTGACCATGATTGCATGTATGACCTCGGTCCAGCCTGGTTCAACTCGGACCCAACCTGGTTCGGCTCCCCTTTTTTAATCTAAATTTGGCCGGAACCTTTTGGATGGAAGGAATCACAAGGACAGAGTCCCCGCTAAGCTGAGCTTGTTAAGTGTTGGCCCTGCCATCTACCCTCCGATCAAGCAATTCCTGGTCTATTGCAGACTATGGTTTTGAGGTTTAGTCTATGGCAAAATGGTCTATGGTTTAGAGTCCAAATTTTAACGTGCGCACATAGCCGCGCACGGCCGGTCCCCTCAGGCCCTCGACTTTGCCTTGCAGCGGCCTGCCACTTGCCACCAACCACAACCATACCCGTCAGGAGGCTCAAAAAACGTCAAGCACACGTCGTGTTTCGAACCCGGACTTTTGCAACCGGGACGTGCGCCTTCACCACATGGCACATGGAGTCCAACGCTCTACCGACCGAGCTACCGGGACGGACATTTACCTTGGGGTTTCGCCTCGTGACATTGACAGACGTCAGACACTTTGGCCGAACTTTAGCCGAAACACTGAGCAAGCTGCGCAGGGCGATAGGTGCTTGTAGCGTTTAGGTTGGGTAACCTGTGAGCTGAACGCGATGTCGTGAGTTCGAGCCCCACTCCCGGGTCTGGTTTTAT